GAAATTCAGAATGTATTTTAGAATCTGTGTCAAATCATAAAAAAATATAAATAAAAGATTACTTCATTAGAAAGGGAGGAAATGATGTCATTTTATCGTTGTCTATAGCAGCAAAACTATGGAAAAAAACCCATGTGATCATTAATATAATATCAGTTAAATAAAATAGAATATGTTAATATTAGATAATGTATAATACTATGATATAGGATAATAATCAGCAAAAATATGGAAAAAACCTATGTGATAATTAGTATATCAGTTAAATGAAATATAATATGTTAATATTAGATAATGCATAATACTATGATATAGTATAATAATTACCACAAAAATTAAACAAACCAAGGAAAGAAAAGTGAGTCAATGGAAAACAATAATTGTTAAATAGAGACTATTTAGTACAAGTTAAAAAGTCATTTCAAGAGACCAGGCACAGGGGCTCACACCTATAATCCTAGCGCTCTGGGAGGCCAAGGTAGGTGGATCACCTGAGTTCACAAGTGTGAGACCAGCCTGAACAAGAGCAAGACCCTGTCTCTACTAAAAATAGAAAAACTAGTCAGGCATTGTGGCAGGCATCTGTAGTCCCAGCTATTCAGGAGGCTGCGGCAGAAGGATCTCTTGAGCCCAAGAGTTTGAGGTTGCTGTGAGCTATGACACCACAGCACTTTACCAAGGGTGACAAAGTGAGACTGCCTCAAAACAAAAAAAAAGTCATTTCAAAACAGTAGAGAAAAGTGGGCTAGTCAATAAATGTTGTTGACACAATTCATTGCCCATTGCCCTTATCTGACACCATTCATGAATACTGTAAATCCAGATGTATTAAAGAACTCAAATAATTAAAATATAATTGAATATATACTGTGAATTTGGTAAAGGGAAAGCCACCTAAAAAACATAAAAAACATGGCTCGGCACCTGTGGCTCAAGCGGTTAAGGCGCCAGCCACATACACCTAAGGTGGTGGGTTCGAATCCCCAGCCCAGGCCCGCCAAACAACAATGATGGCTGCAACCAAAAAATGGCCAGGCGTTGTGGCGGGCGCCTGTGGTCCCAGCTACTTGGGAGGCTGAGGCAGGAGACTTGCTTGAGCCCAGGAGTTGGAGGTTGCTGTGAGCGTGATGCCATGGCACTCTACCCAGGGGGATAGCTTGAGGCTCCGTCTCAAAAAAAAAAAAAAAAAAAAAAACCATAAAAAACAAAAGCCATGAAGAAAAAGAGGAATAAATGTGACTATATAAAACATAAAACTTCTATAAAGACACCATTAATAAAGTTGAAAGATAATTCACAGCCTGAAAGATGATATTTGCAACACAAAGAATCAATAACATATATATGTAATGCTACAAAAATCAATTGAACAATTCAAAAGAAAAACTATATTAATTATAAAAATAGGCAATCCATAGCAGAGGAAATAGACTATGCAAATTACAACTACTACGTAATACAACTTTACTCACGTGATAACAATACAAGATTTGAAACACCAAGTGTTGGTTGGTATGAGTGAATATATGCTCACATACACTGCAAGCCAGAGTGTACATTGGGATTGATATTTTGCAGTATTAATTAAGATGAAAATTCACATACATTATGACTAGGGATTCCATTTGTAGGAATACACCCTAAAGAAACACTCACATGTGTGTATAAGGATTTTCACTGAAACATTATTTGTAATAATGAAAAATATAAAACATCAAATTGTTGATCAGCATGGGAATAAACTATAATATCAGGGCATTGTAGGAGTTTAATAAAATAATATGGTAAATCTCTACATCCTGATACACAGGATAGCCAAGTGATATTCTTAAATTTTATAAAAGTCTCAGAAAAATACAGAATGATACTCTAAAACAAAGACCAATTCTGTATAATTCTAAAGGCACGTGTAAATGCAGCATCTGGGGGTATCCACTAATCTGTTAGCAGTAAGTTTGGGGAGGGGACTGTGTTAGGGGTAAGGGACAGTCAATGGAGAGTTTTATTTTATCTCTACTGTTTGAATTTTTAAAATAAGAGTATATTCACTTATTACTTATACAATTTAAAAATAACATCTTTAAAATAGTTATGATACAAAATTATAAATTTAGGGGTTTTAGCAAAGTCCTATGGGAACACAGTGAAAGGAGAAACTATTACAGTTTGGCATGCAGAAAGCTCTTACAGCAGTAGTGACATTTTCATTGGGCCCAGTGTTTAAATAGGATTTTGTTAAGCATTTATAATTTGATGGACGATTGTGGCAGATTATATTTTCCAAAGATGACTTTACCAACATCCATCCATCCAATATGGTTTCTTTCAACATGACATTGACATGGAAAGGTTGGTGGGGTCTATGTCTCTACGGCCTTGGGCAGGACTTTGTGACTGCCTTGATGAACAGAATGAGGTAGAACTATCACAGAAGACTTCTGAGATTGTTCAGCCTCTGCTTGGTTCATTCTTTCAGAAAATGCTCACCCTTGCTATTTAACTGCCATGCTGTGAGGAAGCCCAAACTGGTCCACAAGGAAAGACTACATGAAGAGGCTCATGTGGAAAGGAACTGAAGCCCTCAACCAATAGTCAGCATCAATTGCCAGACGTGTGAGCAAGCAAACGTTTAGATTAATCCTGCCCTGCTTTGTGTTCCCAGCTAAGGCCCAGATCTGCATCATGGAACAGAGACAAACCATCCCCACAGTGCCCTATCCTCATTCCTGACCCAGACAATCCAAGAGCAGAATAAATGATTACTTTATGCCACAGAGTTTTAGGGCAATATGTTACATGGCCAAAATAACTAAAATAAAGACACTATGAAAAAAAGAAACCACACAAGTTAATAGAATGTCACAGAACGTTGTGCGTATTGACAGTTTTGGGTGATGATGCCCAGAGTCTAGCTGGTATCAGACTATGAAAATTCTTATATGATACTATTTTAAAAATTAAGACTTATCCTGTTGCCAGTGGAAAACTGTTGAAAGTTTTTAAGCTGGAAAGTAAAATGCTAAGATCTGCATTTTAGCAAGACATCTCTGAGATTACTGTCAAAGAAACATTGCAGAAATGTAAGACTTAAAAATAGAAAAGGCCCCTCTGATTAAGATGGGTCCTAGCCAACTAAAATGGCGGGATCACCCCTCAAGGTATATGTTCTGTGACTTTTTTCCTCTTTATAGTTGCCGCTGATGTTCATTTATACTCAATTTCTCTTGTGTTAAAATGTTTGGAGAGAAAACTTATGACCACACAAAAACCTGCCACAGATACATGTAGCAGCTTTATTCATACATAATTGCCAAAACTTGGAAGCAGGCAAAATGTCCTTCAGTAGGTGAATGGGTAAACAAATTGCCGCACATGCTATTCAGCACTAAAAGGAAAAGAACTACCAAGCCATGAAAAGACATGGAAGAACCTTAAATGCAAATTACTAAGTGAAAAAAGCCAGTCTAAAAATCACACACACTGAGATTCCAACGATACGACATTTTGGAAAAGGCAAAACCATGGAGACAGTAAAAAGACCAGTGGTTGCCAGGGGTTGGGAGGAGGGAGAAATGAATAGGTAAAGCACAGAGAATTTGGGGGTTGATACACTACTTTGTGTAATAGGTACTCTAATGGTGGACACATGTCATCATACATATGTCCAAACCCACAGAATACCCAATAGCAAAAGTGAACCTTATTGCAAACTACAGATTTGGGGTGATTATGATGTGTCAATATAGGCTCATTGAGTCTAACAAACAGTGATAGCAGGAGAGGCCATACACATGTGGGGTGGAGGGTGTATGAGAACTCTACTTTCTGCTCGATTTTGCTGTGAACCTAAATGTTCTCTAGAAAAGAAAATCTATTAAAAAGATGTGAGGAGGGAAAAATGTTAAGGGATGTTAGAATATAAAAAAAATTCCTTATTGCTCTTCTTTCAAGCTTCTGAATCTGTTTAAGAATACAATACTAACTGTCTAAAGATTACAGCTACTTCTAACTAATTATTCATATGAATAATGCCACAGCCCCCAATTTCTTGCTTTGGTATTCATTAAAATCTCCTCATCATTCTCACACAACTGGCTTTATAAGAAAACTCTACACGTGTGAACGTATAAAATAAATCTATACCTAAAAACTGTTGCATTTACAGTTTAGATACTGTAGACCAATATAAGGGGAAAATTTGAGGTTCATGATCCAAGAAGAGGGAGAAGATGGAACTCAAAACATATGGTGTCACCTCTCTGATAAGGGAAAGGATGCGTGGATGAATTGTGAAGCAAAGATTTATGAGAGGATTAAAGACACTTTCGAGACTGTTTCTTATCTTGACAGAAGACTTTCCACCTGACTGCTTGAGAAAATGAAAAGGAAGGATCCACTGAAAATTAAGAGTTCATGGAGAATAAAAATGGGATGGAGTGAATCAATCAGATTCTAAAGAATCTAGAGGAGCAGCAGAACCCAGCTAGAATTAAATAGTGTAATTTATTGGAGGGCAGTTTTGTATAATTTTATAGTAATACTATGCCCTTCTCTAATCTTAATTATTCAAGAGATGATTAACCAATTTTTAGGATACTATGCATCGTGCCTTTTCACATTTTCACTTAATGCTTGCTTACAAAAGATGGTATAATTTAAATTCCTTATCAAATAAAAGTTAATAAAATAAGAAAAGAAACTAACTGAATTTTCTACTTTTTTAACCATTTATAAAAAATTTAAGGCTTGTAGTTAATTTTTGAAACAAAAAATAAAAGAAAAAAATAAAATAGAAAAGAGAAAACACTGAAGCAAATGGCAAAATAAGATTATAGGACCATGTCGTGGGTTGAATTTATCCATGCTAGTCCCGTCCCGGATTACCAAAGTTAAATAAAAGCCAACTGCTGCTATATTGCACAGAACAAAATCAGATAAACAACTCCTCCTCAGTGTTTCTTATTCATATTTCTTTGAACAAATTTCCTTAACCAATTTACCTGCATCCAAAAGGTTACAAACGTCTGGTCCCCCTTCTGACAACAATGTAGCTGAAGGGATAACGGAAGGAGGTATTGCTGGCAAAAGTGGCTTTGGATCTTCATCATAAAATAGTATCAGGTCCTGATTTAAAAAAAAAAGAGAGAGAATGGGAGAGTTAAAAAAACAAACAAAATGAACCTCACTGGATAGACAATTTCCTGAGTGACAAAGTATCTATATGTGCAAAAATCACTATTAACACATTTTAAGTAATTCATGCATAAGTTATGCATTTGGGCGTCTATTGAGTATAGGGTGGTTTTCTATCCTTGGGAATCTTCATTCCTTGCTGAAAACATCTTATGTAGGTAACAGTGATTTTGTTTAGGGCAGTGGTTCTCAACTTTCCTAATGCCATGACCCTTTAATACAGTTCCTATGGGTCGTGACCCACAGGTTGAGAACCACTGGTTTAGGGCATTACTTTTCCCTACCACTCCTTGAACATCCTTAGAGTATGCCATCTCACAGGTCAATTACTTTGTTTCACTGGTAATAAATAACAAAAGTACTTGTATCTTTTATCTATATTTTAAATTTTTAACTTTTTATCATGGAGTAAAAAGTAGAAAAATCAATCCAATTATACAGACTAAACAATAATCAACTCAGTTAATCTTGTTTCATTTATACCCCTACCATTTATATCCCATCTGTTTTACTCTGAAGAAAATTCCAGAATGATTACTTATTTTAACATGGACCTCTGTCTTCCATTTAGGCTGTTATGACAATATGCCATCAATTTGGTGGCTTATAAATAACAGAAATTTCTTGCTTACATTTTGGAGGTTGGCAAATCCAAGATCAAGGTATTGGCAGATCTGATGTCTAGTAAGGACCTGCCTCCTAGACAGTCATCTTTTCATTATAACCTTTCATGGCAGAAAGGGGCACTAATCCTACTCATGAGGACTGTGCCCTCATGACCTAATCAACCTCTCAAAACTCCACCTCCTAACACTACCACGGGGTGGGGGTAGGGTTGGGGGTGAGGGAGTGGGGGGGGAGGGGAGTGTTAGGATTTTAACGCATGAAGTTTAGAGTGGGAACAAGTATTCAGACAAAAGCAATCTCTAAATGATAAGAACTCTTTAAAGTAATAGAGGTATCTAATGGATAAGTTTCCTAACAACTCCCAATGTCATCAATCATCATAACCTGTTCACATTTACCGTTTCTCATAAATATCATAATCAGGTTTTTTACTGCTTGTTTGAAAAAAGATACAAATAAATACTATAGAATAGGACTGGTTGGTATATATTTTTTTCTATGAACTGAGGATAATTTCTTTCTGGTATTGTATTGACATATAATTAACATATAGTAAAATATACAAACTTCAACTGCAGAGCTAAGCTATCTTTTACCAGGTGTATGTCTATCTCACCACACTTCCTTCATTCCAGAAAGTTCCCTCAAACTCTTTTCCTATTGACATTATACACCTACCCACTGTGAACACTTTCTGTCTCTATCATTGTCAATGTTATTTTGCCTGTTCTTTATGTGAATGAAACCATAAACTATGCATTATACTTTTATGTCTGGTTCCTGTTGCGACATAACGTTTGTGAGAGCCATTCATGTTTTGTGTATATTGGTAGTCTCTCTCTTCCCCCCTCCCTTCCTACATGTAAGAAGTATTCCATTATATGAATCCATCACAATTTGTTTATCCATCCTCCTGCATATGGATACTTGGCTTGTTTCCAAATTTCAGCTATTATGAAAAAGGCTACTATGAATATTCTTATACAAATCTTTTTGTGGACAAACGAACTTATTACTTTTAGAGCTACCATTCTGTATTCCTACAAGTATATATTAGTGTTCCAATTTCTCCATATTCTCACCAGCATTTGGTATTATCACCATTTTTTAAATTTTAGTCATTTTAATATTTCATTGCATGTTTAAATTACACTTTCCTAAAGGCTAATTATGTTGAATGAACATCTTTTCAAGTGCTTTCTTAGAAATGCCTGATCATCTGCCCATTTTCTAACTGGACTGTTTGGTTTTAAACTGCTGAGTTTTGACACTTCTTTATATGCTACAGATATCAGTCCCTCCAATCTGTTTCTTGCCTTTTCATCCCCTTCACAGGGTCTTTTGCCAAGTAAATATTCTCAGGTATTTTTTTGTTTTTTTGGGTTTTCTCTTTTTGAGACAGTCTCACCTGTCGCCCTGGGTAGAGTGCTGTGGTGTCACAGCTCACAGCAACCTCCAACTCTTGGCTCAAGTGATTCCCTTCCCTCAGCCTCCCAAGTAGCTGGGACTACAGGCAACTGCCACAACGCCTGGCTGTTTTTTGGCTGTAGTTGTCATTGTTGTTTGGTGGGCCCGGGCTGGATTCGAACTGGCCAGCTCCAGTATACATGGCTGGCGCCCTAGCTGCTGAGCTATAGGCCCCAAGCCTAAACGTTTTGATGAGGCCTGATTTATCAATGTTTTCCTTTTAGAGATCATGCTTTTGGCCAGCTCTAGATCTCAAAGATTTTTCTCCTCTATTTTCTAAATATTTTATAGTTTTATATTTTATATGTAAGTCTGTGATTCATTTGGAGTGAATTTCTGTATAAAGTCTGTCTGAATGTCCAGTTACTCCAACACCATTTGTTGAAAAGACTATCCCTCCTCCATTGAATTCCTTTTTTCTTTCTCTTTTTTTTTTTGGCCAGGGCTGGGTTTGAACCTGCCACCTCCGGCATCTGGGGTTGGCACCCTGCTCCTTGAGCCACAGGTGCTGCCCAACCTCCATTGAATTTCTTTGGCACCTTTGTGAAAAATCAGCTGGCCGTATTTGTGTGGGTCTATTTCTGGGTTCTCAGTCATGATCCAAGTGTCCATCTCTCCACTAATACCATGCTCTCTTGATTACTACAGCTATACATAGGACTTAATATCAGGCAGAGTGATTACTCCCATTTTATTCTTCAAGATTGTTTTAGCTATTCTAGGGCCAGTGCCTTTCCATATCAATTTTAGAATAAGCTTATTATCTGTATCTACAAAAAATCATGCTGGGATTTTGACAGGAATTACATTAAACCTATAGAGTAATTAGAGGCATCATTATGTTGAATTATCTAATCCATGTACATCTGGGTCTTCTTTGAGTCTTAATTTTTTTCATTAGTATTTTATAATCGTCAACATGTAACAAATACTGTATATGTTTTATTACATTTATAACTAAGTATTTTAACTTGGAGGAGTGACTGTAAATGGCATTATATCTTAATTTCAGTTTGCAAATGTTCACTGTTAGCATGCAGAAATTCAAATAACTTTTGTATGTTGATTTTGTATCCTACAACCTTTTCATCTACTGGTTCTATAACATTTTTTGGTTTTGTTTCCTTGAGATTTTCTATTCAGACAATCATGTCATCTAAACAGAAAGTTTTATTTCTTCCTTTGCATTTTAAATACCTTTTCTTTCTTATTCTTGCCTTGTTATAGTGCCTAGAACAGCCCAGTACTATGTTGAAAAAGAGTGGTGAGAGCAGATGTCCTTGCTTTGTTCTTGATCTTAGAGAGAAAGTATTCATCAAGTGTGACATTAATTGTAGGTTTTCCATAGATGATCATTATCAATTTAAGGAAATCCTCTTCTATTTCTAGTTTGCTAAGAGTTTACATCATTACGTGGGTGTTGAATTTTGTCAAATGCTTTTCTGTATCAATTGAGATCATCCTATGACTTTTCTTCTTCAACTTGTTGATACGTTACACTGACTGATTTACAAATGTTGAACCTGTCTTCCCTACCTGGATTAAATCCTATTTGGTCATGGTGTATAATTTTTTTAAGACACAGTCTCTCTATGTGGTTGAGTGCCATGGTGTCACAGCTCACAGAACCTCAAACTCTTAGGCCCAAGTGATTCTGTTGCCTCAGCCTCCATAGTAGCTGGGACTACAGCAACAATGCCTGGCTGTTTTGTTTAGTAAGTCTGGGCCAGGTTCGAACCCACCAGTCCTGATGCAGCCCTCACACAGCCCTAACCACTGAGCTACGAGAGCCAAGGCTATAATTCTTTTTATATATTGCTGGATTCAATTAGCTGATATTCTTTTCTATTCTTTTTACATCTAATTTCATGAGGGATATTGGTCTGTAGTTGTCTTTTTTGTACTGTCTTTGTCTGAAGGTGGTATCAGGGCAATACTTACCTCCTAAAATGAATTTGGAAGAGTTCTCTCCTCTTCTATTTTCTGGAAGACATGGTGTAGAACTTCTGTTAATTCTTTAAATAATTTGGTAGAATTCTCCAGTAAAAACATATGGGCCTGGAGGTTTCTGTTTCAGGAGACTTATTACAAATTCAGTTTTTTAAGTGATTATAGGACTATCCAGGTTCTAGTTAATGTTGGTTGTACTTTGGTAATTTAAGTTTTCTGAGAAATTGTTCTCTCTCTTCTAAACTGCAAATATATAAGGATGAACTTGTTGAAAGTATCTCTTACTATGCTTTCACCTTTCATCGTGGAAAGAATCACAGTGATACCCCTTATTTCATCATCCTGATATTGGTGATTTGTGTGTGTCTTCTCTGTCAGTCCTGCTAGAGTTTTATCAACCTTTATTATTTTTAAGTAATTCATTGTTAACTAATTTTCATTAACTTATTTTATTTTTAATTCTTTTTCAAAAAACTGGCATTTTGTTTCATCTATTTTCTCTGTTGTTTTTCCATTTTCAATTTCACTAATTTCTCTCTTTAATATTTCCTTTCTTCTGTTTTTTATGGTTTATTTCACTTTTCTTAGTTTCTTAAAGAAGGCACTTAGATTTTTGACCTTCTCTTTTTTCTAATGTAAGCACTATAAATTTCTTCTCACTAATACTTTAGCTGTACTTCACATATTGATATGTTCTATTTCCTTTTCATTTAGTTCTATGCATTTTGCAATTTCTTTTGAGACTTCCTTTTTTACCTATGAATATTTAGAAGTATGTTATATTCCAGAAATAATTTTTAAGGTAAAATTTATCATGAGTTTATACTGGTATACTTTCAATTCCATTCAAGTCTATCAAGTCATGACAATCTCTTCTATTTTACATC